TGATTGATGTCCACCACTTCTGAGGTGGATCCCCATCAAATTTCTGGCCATCTTCATTGGTTGGATTTTTGGTGGACATCACTCTGGGTGGCTTTCCTCATGTTTCCTCCTCTCAAACACCTCAAGGGTACCCTCCAACAAAGGACCCACACACACATTTGGCTCATGGTCTCTACCCAAGTTCCTGCCAGCAGCCCGGAGCCAATCTGGCCCCATCGACCCCACAGCTTCTAGCCGGGGAAGAACCAAGGTGATTCTTTCAAAGTGTGTCTTCCATATCGTGCATCGTGTCCGTGCATGACCCCGGTGGCATGTCCGGTGGTCATAGCTCTTTAGGAATCCATATGGTCTAAACTCCCAAGTCCAACGGCTTCCCATTTTTCTTTGGGCAGAGGCCTCCTTGAGTCAGAAGCAAAACCTGGCAAGGGTGTCTACCCAAAACCTATGGAAAAGAATCTCGAGGGCTCCTGGCCGAACCTATTTCTGGTCAGGACTGTCCCTTCCTAACCGTCATCTACTCAGGTTCTTTTTTTGGCTCTCTGCAAATCTTCGGTGCTCAATTTTCAAGGGTTCCTCACAGAGTACAATTGGACAAAGGTATACAATCTGCAGGATACACTTGTAGCCTCTCAGACTTACACTCATTCCCTAGCTGGGGTCGGGGTTTGCATGGGACATGGAAAAAAAGCTCAAAATGGTGGCTGTTGTCTTAGTCTACCTTTAAACCAACCCCCAAAACCAGATGATCCTCGCTTGGTGGTTTGGATGGGTGGTTTAAGCAAGTTGAACCCTGGGTCTTTTAGAGGTCGGGAAACCAGATCGAAATACCTCCCAACCAATCCGAACAACCAATTAGAACCCAACAACACCCCCAAGCATCCGGCGACCCGCCTGGCATGCCGTGCCACGTCCGGGGCGGAAAGCTCCGGATAGGCAGCGCGAGGGGAGCTTGCTCGCGGGCCTGAGAAAGTGTGCGTTCCGGAGAGCCATGGGCTTTTGGCTCCAAACATAGTGGTGACTCCGGACAAACCCTGAACGCTGAACACCAATATGGGTGTGAATCTGATTTTTGTGGACCCTTTGTGGACATCGCGTACATGGGGGTTTATGTCCACCAGCCGCTTTTGAGGGGGTTCCCTATTTAAATTCATGGCCATATGGCAGTTCTCAGAACCTGGTGAACTGATCCTGTGAATTGATCAACTCGCTCGACCCCCCAGATACGTCACAAATTGACACAAAATTGGGGATGGGGTCTTGCGGAAAGCAAAGGGAGCTTTGCAGAAACAGACCACAAACATATTCGAAAGGTCGTGGACCCACCCCTGTTCATCTACCTCGCCCCTCTACACAATGGCGATAAGCGATAACAAGCAGCTCTCCAACCTGTTTAAGCAGGTCCAAGTGACCCTTGATTCTGCCCGAGCGAGATCGTTTGAGAGCTTGTGAGAATCTCCGCAGGAGAGAGAAAGACTTGTGTGAGGCCGATGTGTCCAAGTGACCCCAAATCTTTAGCCTTGTCGTTCCCACGTCCGAGTTTCGGTTGCGCTCCCCGTTTTTCGACCAAACTCCAGGGCCCTTTCTGAAGCTACGCGGATGCCTTTTCTTCTACGGCAACATGTCGAAATCGGAATTCAATCCTGGATCTATGGCACCTGGCAAACACCGTGCAAAAAAAGGAGTGAACAAGCCTTTGGACGGTACCCCGGTTGTGGGTTCCCATCATTGTACTGGGGAGACGAGTCTTGGAAGCGCTGGCATTTCTCTTTCCAGAACCGACAAAAACCACCCGGCTCAATTGAAAAGATGGGTCAAACAAATCCCCCACTCCAAAGGGCCGAAAACACCAGGCCGCTCACCCTGGATTCAAAAATACCTTGACCTTGACATACTTTATGGAATATGCAGCTTACCCGAACAGGCATTTGACAATTGGAGCGCCCCGTGTTCCGGTTTTCTTTTGTTTTGGAAATGCAGTGAGTCTATGTTCACCGAGTCGAATTTCTTTGGGTCCCGCCTGGCTGCCATGCGAGGAAGAAGGCGGTGCCTGTGGCGTTCCGATCCAATCCGAAAGAACAAACTAGTGGACTCCTTTGGCAGTTCAACGGAAGCCAGCTACTGATCTCTTAGGCAGGGGCCAACCTTCCTTTTTTTTGGGGGGAGGGGGGGAGGGGGGGGGATTCGATTTTTGAGACCCAACCCCTCGTGTCAACAACGAAGAAGCCCTCAAGTAGGTTGAACATCCAAGTGGAACTGCCGCCTCTGGCAAAGGATCCATTGACCGGCTTGCATCCATTGCCCCATTTGCACAAGGAAGGGGCGGACAACATGGGCAGCCGACCAAGCCGAGGACAATCATGCTGAATGCAAGGCTCATTCAGCAAACATGCCGCGGCAGAGTTCGCGCCCTACGCAAGGCGCCGATTTCGGCCTTTGGGCTCTCATGGGAAACACATGCACGGATAGTATCGGCTGAGTCGCTGGAAGGAGATACGTCTCATGTCAAGCATTAAATGCGACGTAGGATGTGCAAACTTCTCTTGATGTCCTGATGTTCATGGCCACCGGAAGGTCAGCTACTTGGATTGGTCCAACTTACGATGCCTAGAATGATGGAGATACAGCGCCAGCAGAAAATGGTAAGCAGGCAAGGGTGTGCAAAGCACGCGCGCGCGCGTTCGTAACTTCCCCCTGGATACGACCTGCCACAAGACACAAAAAGCCATGAGGGCAGCTCATGCCAGGCTGAACCACGCAATCCGTGCCAATGTCTCCCCAAAGACAGCCAACTGCAAGCTGCCAGTATCATCTTAACACCAACAACCAGCAGATCCATGCCAGGTGGGTGTGTATTCATACATACAAATATATTTCCCGCACATACACGTGTGTATACATATATATATATATACATACATACATATACATACACACATATATGCACAACGCAATGCAATGCGTTGCCACAGGCTATGTCACATTGAATGGTGGCGTATGGGATTGGATGGTTTGGCGCAGGTGTTGTATCCCATCTGGGGCTTCACCCATCCCAAGTGGTGCAAAGAGGATTTTGTGCATCCACCGTACTTCCCATGATCCCAGGGTCTTCTCGCATTTGGCGGCTTCGTCCAAAGTGGTGAGCCCCTTTTTGCGTGAAACTACGAGGGAAACTACGGGGAACCCAAAGAAAACCAAAAGCAAACACCCAGAACCTCTCGAGGTCGCCTCTGCAAGCAGCGCCGCAAAGCAGCAGCGTGAGCTCGAAGCGGAGAGCCGTGCGCTTGCGCCTCCTCGCGGGGAGGCTTGTGGGGGGCAATGACCCCAGGTCTTTGATGAATCAAGTGAGTGAAGGCGAATGGCACGCGCGATGCGCGTGGGTGAAAGTGCATGAAAGTGGACGAAAGTGAATAAAAACGTGGGCGAGCGAGAACGGAAGTGGATGCAAGTGGGAAAGTGTGGATGAAAGTGGATGCAAGTGCGGAGAAATGTGGTGTCAAGATAGGGGAATCCAAAGATGCGGTTGGCCTTTTGATCTCGCTTTAATCCAAGCTTTAAAAGGGTACCCTTAAAAACACACATCCCATATTCGATTTTGGGGACTTGTCATTTCCTGCCAATTTGGGGCAAGCCACCACTCCCGAACAGTAAAGGTTTCCGGAGAACAAAGAACGAAAGCGTAGAGCAACCAAAATGATTCAGGGGTCACTGGGTCACTGCATTTCTCGGTGACTGGGTCCCATTGAACATAGTTGAAAATGGCACCGTTGGTCCAATGAACGGAGATGGAGATCAGAGACTTGCAGCAGCGCCCTGTGATTTCTGGTTCTTGTGTAGACTTCTGCAGGCTGGCCATGTGCCTTTGTGTGTGTGTGCATATATATATATATATGTATATGTGATTGCACATGCGTGTTCATAGGTGTGCATGTGTCTGCCGGTGTTCCGTCTGGCTGCTTGCCTGTGTCTCCGTGTGCCAGCGTCTGTGTGGGTGTGTGGGTGTGTCAGTTGGTCTGAATGCTTAGCCCCAAATCAATGTCCTGGAAGAGCTACCCTCCTTTTGATGTTAGTGTTCAAGGGGCAGCTCATAGTTCAAACGCAAAAACACCAACACACAACACATACAAAGGAACAACCCCAGGAGCTCCAAACAAATCGCTTGCGATTTGAAGCTGGCGCGCTCCTATGGATGTTCTGCTGGCCATGGGTCATGCATGGCGCATCGATCTGCCTGTTCAAAGTGGACAGTGGCGAGCGTCGCAGCGTCGACCCTGGCCACTTGCAGCGTCTTGCCTGCGAATGGTTGCCCAAGTTGCAGGTTTCTGCCTGAACAAGGGCGCGGCTCAAACAGCGCTTTGAGAAGGTGCTGTACCCGTCAGGCAAGAACCAAAGTTCCACGGAGCAACAGGCATGGTCCAAGCGCCGTGTCTGGAGATCAGATGCTCTGCGACAAAACCCTGTTTTCCGCTTGCTCTCCATAGCTACGCCTGAGCCACGACGGCCCGCGAGTATGAGAGTGGCACACTCCAAACACATCAGAGAAGCATGGGTATGAATTCAAATGGGACCTTTTGCCTTGTCCACCAACCATTTTGCGGGTGTAGGCATGCAAATTCAGACCATGCGCACGCAGCCTTTCCATCAGGAACCTGACAAGGTCTGAGGAAATGTGACCCAACTTCCTTTGGGGGGTCCAAGCCTGAAGCTCCATGTCCACTCTGGAGCGTCCCGGGCAAGCCGGGGAAAAATATATAGACAAAAACGGAGAAGATAAGAATAAAGGCGAGATGAGTCGGGCTGACTGCGAGTCAATCTCCAAACGGCCAAAGCAAGCTTCGGAAGGGACTCTTGGTGGTTCTAGGTCCAAAACAAATGATGAATCCAAATCCTTGAAGGGTTCACCAACCTGAAAATGAGGTTCGCGCGCAGAACAAGCAATGGTTGCGCCATAACCTGCCCAGAACTGGACGTGGGCCATGAGGGACCCCTCTGGCTCGATCGGCCTGCTCCTCATCTTCCTGTCCGGTTGGCAGCCGAGGAAAGGGAGGGGGCGGGGGCCTAAACTTGGATCCCATTTTGGATGTTTGTGAGAAGAACCAGAGGAGGGAACCAAAAGGAAACCAACCACATATGCAGGAAACATTGAAATGACTGGCCTCACAAAGCTAGTCATGCATGATGCAAACAATGCGAAAGAAAGATCTCCAGTGAAAGGCACTAATTGAAAGATCCGTGGCCGGCGAAAATCACGCCGTCGGTCTATAGCCCGAGACAAGGAAGCTACTGTGCTGATTGCGGTTGACCCTTTCCCATCCCAACAAGCCTGTCCGCTCCCAGGCCGATTGTTCCAACCAAACGCGAGGTGATACCGCCAGAAAAATGTCGGCAAGCGCTTGGGGGAACATGGTCAATGATGAAATGCGGCCCAGCTGGTCAAAGAAGATGGCCCTGCCAAAGGGTTGGCTGGCTTTGGCTGGCTTTGGGCGAACCTCCTCTCATATTGCGATGCTTGGTGGGCGGATTTCAAATCGAGTGCCTTTGGAACTTTCGGTCCAAACCAGTTTGACAAGGCCAAATAGGAATCTCCCCCCCATTTTGGGGGTGACTCTTTTGAAGTCAGCGGCCTGAAATCGAGAATTGCCCTCTTGCCACAGTTGTTCTCTCAGGTCGCTGGCGCTGAACCCTGCTCCGCCTCCCACTGCTCGAAGGAGACATGCCATTGGATGATGAGACTCAGACCCTATAAAACATGCACGTTGTAGAATGTGCCTACACAAGTCAGCAATTCTGGTTGCTATTTAGGTCCGTGCCGTTAAAAAAAATAAAATAAAATCAAAATGCTGCTTGGAGTCCAAATGCGTATTGGGGTATGACTTTCTTGTGACACCCCCCCCCTGTTGGTCGCTTAAGGCAAGCCAGAGGGGAGAAAGCCAATTTGTTGGGCGGCATCATTTTGAGAGCAGCCCGCGCCCAAATTCGCGCCTGGGCCAGGGCCAGGGTCAGGGCACGCTCAATGCGGTCCCCCAACTCGGGGTGCACCTACCCCATCGCTATGGACCCTTTGGCGGGGTTCGATCCTCACCAGCCGCTTTGGGATCCGAAAAAAAGACACACGCGTGCCTCAAAATAGGGACCCCCGACAAGGGCTTCGGTTTCCTGTTGGTTTCCCAAAATAAGACACTCCCACTTGGCGCCCATTTTGCAACCAACTTCTTTTGTTGGATATTTCGGGGTTGAGTCTGCACGATAGACTCGTGTCTATGGGGAATGGGGAATGGCACGGGGGGTGGCGGACGAGCTTTCAAGCACGGAAAGATGCGCTTCGGCCAATGGTGCCAACCTGAACTCAAAATCATGTTTACCGTTTGGCGCCGCTCGGACACATACTCACATGTTGGTTGAGTCCCATCGAATAAAAATCTAGGGACTCTAGGTGCCCTTCTAGATCCCTTGCTAACAGTGAAGCTTCTAGCGGGAGACGTCCTGAATCCATACTCAAGCCAGGTGTTTTCTCTCGTCATGGAACCCAACATGATGGCCTGAATTCTTGAGGGGCTCGAAAAATTGATGCCTCGTTTTCGGCTCCTCAACCTGCAGGAGGGTAATTACGGCTCAAACGAACATGTGACATCGCCCACAACTCCGGAAGGAGCTGTAAGAAAGGAGCCCTCCTGGGGGGTAATCGGTCGCAAAGCGCGAAAAACCCCTTAGCACAGATCTAACAAATGTACGTTCGGATGAACAAGGGGAATGCAATCTCATCAATCCTGCCAAGAATCCAATGATGCTGAAGCCCAATGGAGCCATGGAGGAATGCCTCTACACCCCGGGGCTGAAATTTGGTCCCTTTGAAAGGTTGGTCAAGGTCTTGCGGTTGGCAACCCTGACCCTTCTTGGCTTGCAGGCGTATGGTTCCCGGTTGGTCCTCTTGAGTCGAGACACAATGGCGGGAGGGTCTACAATTGTGTGCCGAACCAGGATTCAAATCGATCCCAAACCACGAACCGGGTGTCTGACCCAACGCCAATTTTGCGATGGCCCGCAAGCAGTTGCCTTACCCGATGTGTAGACACCTTAATTTAGGGATCGCTTGTATTTCCCAAAGGTCGGAATCAGGCAAACCCTTCCCAAGCGATCAGTCCACGCTTCGTCTTCAAGCATGAAACGGGCCATGGACCCGGAAAGTCGGACCCAGCCGATATGGGCCTAACATTAGTTGGAGACAATGGCGTCCCCGAGTCATCAACCCCATTGTTGGGGGATAGCATCAGGTGGGCCGAAGTTGGGTCCCTCTGAAAGTAATTCCCCCCTCCACATGTAAATATATAGGTTATATGGGTGTTCTCCCAAAATCGGCCACGCCTTCTTGATGGTGGGTGAAGAGAAACTAAGGGCAAATTCACCATTCTTTGAGAAGCCTCCATAAAAATCACCCGGGGCCTATCCATGCAGCGATCGGCAACTTCAGCAAACGACTTGAGAAACCAAACTCGGTTTGAAGGT